AATGAAACTGACAGATCCCCACCTACATAACTTTCTCTCCTATGCCAACATAGAGTCCTTCCCTTTCTAACAATAGTGTTACATATGCTCTACCTCCAATTCTGGTTTGATTTTATGAGGTGACCCTTCATTTTTGGTAATGATTGTCATACATCAGGGGTCCCCAAACTACGGCCTGTGGGCCGAACCCGGCCCGTCAAGGCCTTTGAACCGGCCCATGGCTGGTCCTGCCACCGCCGCTGCTGCCACCACGTGACGCCATTTTGTGTTCCAAAATGGCTCCCGGTATCACGCACACATGGCGCCTGGAGTCGTGCGCATGCAAACCGGCCCCCGGCTCAAAAAGTGTGGAGACCCCTGTCATACATCAATGATTGTCATACATATATTATTTAGGAGCCCTACTCACCCCACACAGCTCCCTGTTCCCAAACTATTTCATGCAGAGACTTGTTTCATGTCCAGGCTTCACTGGTGGATTCATCTGTTCTAAACCACCTGACTTCAGGCTCATTTTAAAGAAGTCTTGATGCCCTTTAAGGCTCTGCTTCACACATTCCTTGCTTCATATAATCTTTGCCCCATTTCACGGCTTACCTCCCCCTATTTTCAATTATCCCACCTTGAAATTATATTTAAAAACAAACCCCGTGGCATTAAACATGGCATTTGCAGGCTGTGACTTTGCTTGTTGGTTCTGCATGTAGTACCTTCCCCACTCCCCCACCCCAGTTTTAGCTGCCTTCTCCTCCTACTTTTTAATTAATCAGATTCTCTCTTTCAGAACACTGGCTATCTCAGATTCAGCACATGTGCCAGTGGCCAGCACAATTAATGGGATCTTGATCTCTGTTTGTAGAGGAGCAGATATAATTCAAAGGAAAAAAAATGAAGGGAAAGGAGAATTATCCAGCAACACGTTAGACAGTGGACAGGTTTGCTAAGTAAAGGTTTTCTAGCATGTTTTTACTGCAAACCAAGTTAGCACAAGAAGATGCTTTTGTTACTTTTATGAAAGCAAATTCTTCCCCTCTTAGGGCCCTTTGCACATTACCCTTATAACTGGAGTGCCATTATAGCACAGGTAATGTCGGATGTTCTGGACCTTGTAGGAGGATCCTATGCTGTGCTGTTGTCCTAACAGCAGCATTGCCCCAATTATCAGGAAGGGAAACAGCCTAAAGCAAAGGTGTGAAATGCCTGCCCATTAGATGTGGGTGGACTACAAATCCCATCATCCCTAGCCAGCATAACCAATGGTAAAGGGTGATGGGAACTGCAGAGCAGTTTTATGAAGTTTTGGCCAGTCTTGGCAAATGGACTCTCACCATAACTATATTCCTACACAAATATAATTTTCTCTAAAAGTACAGGCCAGCTGAAGTTGAGGTACAATGCCGACACAGCAGGGAGCCCCAGCCATCCTTACAGGTTGTAGGTGACTGGAATCCAGTTGTTGTTGATTTGTGCCTGAAAGTCATTTCTGAGTAGCTGCACTCTTCCTAGCACTAAAAATGTCCTTGCCATTAGTGAATTGGCAAGAACACCTGCAGATACTTGCACAAGAACATGAACAGACACAATTAGCTTCAAAAAGAGACCTAGGAAGGTGAAACACCAGAAAAACAGTTTTATCTCACTGGAAGCTTTTTGAAGGAAAGGACTGAAATATAAACATTTTATCTAAGAGCTTACCCTTGAGCTCCCACCCTCCATTCATAAGCTGCTGCTTTACGTATTGCCAAGACCACCAAAGCGAATATCTCAGCCTGAAGAATGGCTGCTTCCTCTATCTAGCCCTCCTATTGTTTGAAAACAGTAAGCAATACTACTTCAAAATATTCTACCTCTTGGCTCATTTTCCATGGCTGGGCACCTCCACATGAAGGAATGTATCTTTCAGGAGTGCTTTAGTTACATATTCCTGCGTGGCAGGGGCTTGGACTAGGGACTCAGTATGGTGTAGTGGTTTGAGTGTTGGGACCAGGGTTCGAATCCCCACTCAGCCATGTAAACCCACTGAGTGACCTTGGACAAGTCACACTCAGCCTCAGAGGATGGAAATGGCAAACCCCCTCTGAAAAGGGTTGCCAAGAAAACTCCATGACAGGTTCACCTTAGGATCACCATAAGTTGGAAATGACTTGAAGGCTTACAACAACAACAGATTTGGACTAAACAATCCTTACGCTCCCTCCCAACTCTATCATTCTATGATTCTAAGATTGGCCAGCATTATTTTTTAAGTAATTTGCCCATCCACCTGAACACTTTTTTTGAACAGGAGGATCAAAAGAGTGACAACCTCTGAAACCCTGGGTGATGTGTCTATGCCGCACATATCCTTTATTTATGTTTTTAAAGATGTCTGTTAAAAAAAATAATCCTGCAATTGCCATGTCAGCTAAAATCCCCCGTTTTTCACTGCAGTATTTGAAATACAGATTTTGTAATAGCTGGATCCTGGGATTAGCTAACACTTACATCAAAAAACTAGCTTAGCTCTCTGTCTCTTAAAATGGAACGTTATTGCTGTGAAAATTGGGATAAAAAGTTAAACAAAGACGCATGAATGCCATCTGGTAATTTTTAATTGTAAGCAAGGCTAGGATTATCAGATAAAATGGAGAAAATGTATTCCATGGCCAGCAATCTCTCAGTCTGTATAAATTTGCTTCAAAAAGTGAAGCAATTTGGCATTTACTAATATCACTCACAATATCTATTTCAATAACTAGAATTAATTTAACCATTAGGTTGACATGAGACTTGAGTACACAGAGCTTAGACATATGTACAAGCACAAACTTGTTTAACTTTTATACCAGCTTAAATATCATGATTTCCTCCAAGTGGGAACTGTAGTTTGGTGAGGCTGTGTGTACATGTGAGAGACAGAGAGAGAACAGATCTTTAAGACCTCTCACAGAACTACAATGCCTTGAATTCTCTTGCAAAGAGAAATTACAGGAAAATTAAGTAGGTTGTGTAAGTATGCATTGACAGTAGAACTGAATATATTTGTCTGGCAGATTTTATGGTTATCACAGTTAGGGTTATGCTCCCTACAGGTAACATAGGACAAGTCAATTTAGAATATATAAATTAAGGCATGGCTCAGTTAACAAAGCCTCTGACAATGAAGTTCCTTTTCACAGTCTTTTTATGCCATCTCAGCCCAACTTTTCTTCCATATCCTCCATTTATTGCATGGGCAGGCAACCTTTTTGAGACCTGGGCCGGTCTCCCATAGCCCAGGCCTCGGCTGGGCCGAGGGGGGGGGAATGGTGGCGCGCGCGCTCACGTGCGCACGCACACCCTCCTCCGCCGCGCGCAACCCCCTGTGCACGCGGCCGCCGCCGTAGCGAGCGCGGCCACAGCCCCCACGGCGCATGTCACACCCGCCATTTTGGAAGTCCAAATCGCGACTGCGACGTGTTTGCGCATGCGCAAGAGTACTGCGCAAACGCGTTGTGGCCACCATTTTGACTTCCAAAATGGCGATCGCAGCAAACGCGGCTGCAGAGCGGGAAAAACACGCCCCGACGGCGGTGCGTGGCGGCAATCTTCGGCCTGGGCCGGTAAGTCCGGGGCCCGGGGCCTTAACCGGCCCCCGGGCCGTAGGTTGCCGGTCCCTGATTTACTGGGATGTTTCTTAGCAGCATCAGCCTTAGGGGGATGCTGAAGGAGGACTGACTTTTGGTGTTGGGATGAAGCAGTCTACCTGCAATAAACAATACAACAGAACTGGGAGAGAATTGGATTTTGCTCTAATTCTACTGTAGTTGTGTGTGCCTGCCTATAAGAGGTGGGGAAAGCAGATAAGCCTGCCTCAGCAGCTGTTCCAGCATATTAAAAAAGCACAAATCGGGACGTTTGGGTACCAAAATGGAAATCATAAGAAAACTTGAAGCTAGTGAAAGAAATAAAGAAAGAAAGAAAGAAAGAAAGAAAGAAAGAAAGAAAGAAAGAAAGAAAGAAAGAATCTCTGCATGCATTTTGTAAGAAGTTTCAAGTAGTCTCTAGAAGGTTCAAAATGTTTCTGTGTACTTATGTAAGGTTTACCTGACCTGTTTGTCATCGAACATGTACATATTGTTAGTTTTGTATAAAAAGTTTGCTGGGAAATGTTGAAAATTGCTCTTCTTTGTGGTGCAAGAACCTATCCCTATTCTTTCCATGTTATTTCTGTTAAAGAAGTAATACCGAGGAACATATTTAGTTCTCTACTGAGGTAGATCTGTACCTATAAACAGATAACTGTATTCTGTAGGAAGGCTATCCCATACATACAATGTAGTCCCAGACATGGAGACTCAGACATAATTCCCACAGATTACATTTAGATTTACCCCAAGGTGAATGTGTACTAGGCTGCAATCTGGCTTGATAACATGGGGTAATAAAGCTTGAATAAGTGGCTGCAAGGTGAGGTTTTTAAGGAATAGAAGTTGAGGCTGTCAACATTACACCAAAGAATACTTGTCATCAAACAGTCCTATAAGCCAATTAAATGGTGGGGTACTGGTCACTGTGTAACACTGACATAAGAGAGGACTTATCATCTCAGTGGATGTGTTGGTGAAGCAACCAATGAGGAAGCATGGGTGACTGGACCTGTAGTGCCCCTGTCTTCCCTGTGTTTACAAAACTCATATGAAAGACCAGGGGAAAATGCATTAGTCTTTATTTTCCAAGGGACAGGTGAGGAACTGTGTCCCTCTTCCCTCTCATTTCTTGATTCATACAAGAGCCTGAAGCATGGGGAGAAGTGAAAGCTACCCCTGCTTCTTGTCTCTATTTGTACCATCCCAAAGCAACTGAGAGGCACACGACCTCCAATTTGATGTTGTATGCATTTAAGTTATTTCTGACTCATGGTGACCCTAAGGCAAATCTATCAGGGTTTTTTCGGCAAGATTTGTTCAGAGGGGATTTGTCTTTGCCTTCCTCTGAGACTGAGTGGATGAGATTCCTCAAGGTCACCCAGTGTGTTTCCATGGATGAGCAGGGATTTGAACCCTGGTGTCCAGAGTTATAGTCCAATGCTCAAACCACTACACCATGCTGGCTCACGTGGCTTTCAATGACCAGTCGTATTACTGAATGGCTTGTGTGCATTGCACATGCATTAGCTGAATTACTGAAGCAACTCCAACAAAAGGCTAAAGCAGGGGTAGGCAACCTTTCCCCTTTAAGGGCCGAGGGACTTCAGCTCCCAGAAGCCTCAGCCATGTTGGCCAATAGTCCCATGTTGGCCAATAGCTCCTGGGATTCTGGGAGCTGAAGTCCCTTGGCCCTTAAAGGGGAAAGGTTGCCTACCCCTGGGCTAAAGAATTCTTGAATTTATTCTTTACCTAGTAAGAGAGTAATTTAGTAGGAAGGTTCTTACCTTTTGTAAATAAAGAACAGTGCCTTTAAGAACAGCATAAAAGGTTTTCCAACCTCTCTTGCCTCGTGGAGCTAAGAATAGAACACACACACACAAAACAAAAGTTGATTAAGAAAATGTTTGCAATATAAGTCAAGACTCTGCTCTGGCCAGGCTCATTAGGTTTTCAAATACTCCTTGCCTCCCCTGTCCTTTAGATAAGCACACAATTTAATATTAGCAAAGGACACAAAGAAACAACAATACATATATTGTTTAGTGTGCAAACTGTATTTGTTCTGGACAAAAAATGCATTTGTTACTTTTCTTTTCACAACTGCTCCTTCACTCATTGGGCCTATTTTCATCGGAGCTGTTTACTCTAAGGGAAAAATAGAAAATGGTGGGCGTGGTACAAATCATCCCACCACTATCATGATTACTATAGCCAGACCCTCCCAAATGGCCTGTGCTATACTATCCCAGGAACTAAATTTCCTTGCATCAGTAAGATGTCAGGTCTAAGAAGATTTGTCAGTAGAGGAAGAGACCAATCCAAGTTCTCTGTAGGGGAGGCTTTCTTATGACAAGAGAAATGACTAGTGGGAAATAGGATGGTCTAGTGAAAAAGCATAATCATTGAACAGAGTAGGGGTGGTTTTAGCTCTAGATTAATCTTTCCCATTCATCCTCCTCCTGCAGGATTTTTCTGGCAGGGTGCTCTGAGCTGTGGCTCCTTCCTTGGTAACCTTCTAGATCAGGGGTAGGCAACCTTTCCCCTTTAAGGGCCGAGGGACTTCAACTCCCAGAATCCCAGGAGCTATTGGCCAACATGGGACTATTGGCCAACATGGCTGAGGCTTCTGGGAGCTGAAGTCCCTCGGCCCTTAAAGAGGAAAGGTTGCCTACCCCTGTTCTAGATCATCTGGTTTTGTACAGGATGAGTGTATTACCACCATACTCTCTTCCACCTGCAAGATCCAGAGGCTGTACTTGCCCCTGGGATCCTGGGCTGACATCTTTTATTTTATTCCCAAGGGCAACAAGAGGCAATGGTGGCAAGGCAAGCAATCAGCTTCATGTATGCAACTTTCCTTTTATTTCCTTCCCCTGTCAGAAAGTAAGCCCTTTCTCAGAGGGAAAGCTGTTTTCACTGAAACATACTCACTTTTCTTGCCATCCATATCAGCATGGATTTTACGTGCCAGGAATCCAGTTTTGTACACAGCAGCGTTGGGGTCATGAGGGATGTCTAGGAAAGGATTATTGGAATTGCCAATGCGATTGGCAGTCTTTGACTGGCCGTTATCCTTCTCGTCACTACCATCTGAGGGAGATTTTTTCTTCTCTTCATCATCCCTAAGGCAAATTAAAAGGGGGGAAAACCATGTACAAACCAAAATTGATTTGACAACTCAGCATAGACTTTTACTAATCAAATTAAGAAAAGGAATACATTTCTGTTATCAACCATATCTCTTAATTAAGTGATGTTCCCTTTGGTCTTGTGGACCAAAATGAACTGAGATATTTTAGCATGAGCATAATTTTAAACCTGCAAAAAATAAAAAAAATTATTATTATTATTATTATTAAATCTTATTAGCTTCAGCAGAATGTTTCACATTTATATTTAGGATTATGAATCATAACTGTAACCTTTGTGTCATTATCCTGCAAATGAAGTCTGAAATCTGTTGACATCTGTAACACTTTCACCCACCAAAACACCTTTGGTGCCATGAACATGTTGATCCACATCCAGTGCAATTCTCTGTCCCAATGTCATTACTGTACATCAGATTCTCGTATCTGATTTATGCTTTCCCTCTTACCCATGAACAAGCACCGATGGGTGAACTGTCCTTGCTTCGCTTCTATTAATGTTTCCTTTTCAAGTGGGGGAAAAACATGGTAAAAAACCAACAACTACTCTTCAGTTATAAATACAAGAAGCTCCCCTTATGCCAAGTCAGTACATTAATCAACCTGGCTCAGTGTTGTCTGCACTGATTTGCAGTTGCTCTCCACAGTTTCAGACTGGAGTGTCTCCCAAATCATATCTGGAGTTAACACGGAATTAAACCTTGGACGTTTTGCTGCAAGTAAAAGATGGACTCTGTCCACAGAGCTATGGCCTGATTTTTAGAAAGACAAAAAGCTCGGATAGCTAAGATCCTTTTAAGCTAGGGATACTGGGCACAGAGCCTGGGACACACTGCGTATGAAACATCCTGTACCGTGTTCCCAAAAACAGAGGGAATATTCCTCATAAAACCTAGGATGTAGCATTAATGTTGAAATGTTGCTTTTATTCCACAGCATTCATTGCTATGATCAGTATGCACATTCAATTATGTTGCCAGAGATCTAACCCATCTCAAGGCAAATAACAACTCTGAAAGCAGCAAAACAAAATGTAGATTAATACAGATGGATTATTTTTTTAAAAAAAAAAATAGAGTTTTATCTATATTAAAAATTATTCAAAATTAATTTAGTCACAGGCACTGAAAGCCAGCTCAGAGTTTTATGGTACATTCCAAAAAATGACTAGATGTAGACCATAATGAATGGGGGAGGGTGGGGGATAAGAGAGTTGTGGGGCGCCAACTAAAACACATTGCCATGAGGATGATATTGTTAAGAGGATGTCTCTTGTTGGAGGGTAAGACATGTGACAGAATAGAATGGATAAAGTTGTCTTAAAGGTCCCTATAGCTTTTTAAATAAACAGGCTACAGCTAATGACTTCTAGAATGACAAGCAGTCTAAAGACTACTCCATGTGCACTTGAGGACTGAGCAGCAGCTCTTCATGCATCATGCCTCTTTGATTGGGAAAGGGCTTATTGATTGTTTTTAATCCATTAAGTAAAACTTAAAAAAAAAAAAGACCTCCTCTTGTTTAGACAACAGAAATGGTGATGCCTGGGCAGAGAGTGTTTCTGGTCAAATTGATACTCCACAAAATCCCAACAGCAGTACCATTTGGTTTCAGCAGCAATTCCTTAGTCCAGTCTCTTCCAGCACTACTGGAACTACATCAACAAGTAGGAACAAGGACTATTTTTGACAAGTAAAGTCACACGCTATACCTGTACAAATAGGGCCCAAATGTTTCCTACATTACACATGGAGCAATTTAGAGTACCCATAGAGAAACCACTGTGCTATGGACCATCTTTGTGTGACCTCTGCTGCAACATACCAGCACTATTACAACCGAGTGTAACTTTGATGCTATGGTGTCTCCCCTGCTTCACTCTGTGCTGAAATCACTAACAATCTGGACCTAAGTTAATGGAATTCTACTCAAACCCTGCAGAAAACTTTCGTAATGGCAATTATGTCAGCTTTAGAAACCAGAGGTAGTCAAATTATAAACCAATATTCTGCAGTATTTCAAACCAGCAAGCAAACCAGAAGTTTTCTGTGGGTTTTCCTGGCTATGTGGCCCGTTCTGGAAGAATTTATTCCTGACGTTTCACCTGCATCTGTGGCTGGCCAGCCACAGATGCAGGTGAAACGTCAGGAATAAATTCTTCCAGAACATGTCCATATAGCCTGAAAAACCCACAAAAAACTATGGATGCCGGCTGTGAAAGCCTTCAACTTCATAGAAGTTGTCTGTTAGGAGGATGTAGGGGCATTTTGCTTTTTTTTTTTTTCTAATTAAAATGCTCAAACAGGTTGTGAGCTATGTGAAACTCAAATCCTGGCAGTTGCCCACCATTGTCTTAAACCAAACTTGTCTCACTGACACAGTCAGTAATGTCAATCAAGCCTTCCTCTCTTATTTTAATACTGCTTTTAACTTGTGTCTTAAAAATAGAAATGTAGCTTAACTGTCTTTTAACTTTTGTATTTAAAGTATTTTAATTGCACTGTGCTTTTAAAATGTTGTACATCACCCTGGATCCCATGCTGGAAGACAGGATATCAAATAAATAAATAAATCCATGCCACAGTATGCCAGCATGCAAAACTCCAGTGATCCCAAAAAAATACAATCAGCCCTTCATATCCATGAGTTCTTTATCCATGGCTGCTGTACAATCCCCAAGACTGCTTGTCATTCTAGAAGTCAATTCCAAAAAGCAAACCTTGATATTGTCATTTTATATAAGGGATGCCAATTTAGTATGTCATTGTACAATCAGCCCTCCATATCTACGGGTTTTTTAATCCATGGATTCAAGCATCCACATATTGAAAATATTCCAAAAAATATAAATTTCAAAAAGAAAACCTTGATTTTATATAAGAGACACAATTTTACTGTGCCATTGTATTTAATAGGACTTGAGCATTCACGGATTTTGGTATCCACGGGGGATCCTAGAACCAAACCCCAGCGGATACCAAGGGTGCACTGTATTTAATGGAACTTGAGCATCCACAGATTTTGGTATCCACGGGGGGTCCTGGAACCAAGCCTTTGCAGACACCAAGGGCTCACTGTATAGTTTTCGCAAGGACAATTGAAAGATCATTGGCCATTTGCAAAACTGGATTTCTTCAAACTCCTATAATTCTTCTGTGGCTCAGATTTCTCCAGCTCTAGCTCTGGAGGAGAATTTAGTGGTCCTTATGCTTTTTCTTCACTCCTTTTTCAAGGCAATTACTGAAAGACCTCAGAATGCCTTGCCAGTATATGTTTTCTTCAAATACCAGTTTAGTACTAAGTAAGGGCACAGTG